GATAAATTAAACTGAAAAAATGTTATAAATATGTAATTAATTGTGCTTGGCCTCAACCCCATTTTTTCCATAAATTTAAGGTTTCGGAACTTCGTCATACGGATAAACTTCATCGAGAAATCCTTGCCCATCAGCTCGTTGTTGCAGAAAACGTCCAGCTCTTTGGTACCACACGTCGTTCCAGAGGCATAGCGCCAGGTATCTAGGAAACATTTAGCATTTTAACTTATTCCGATACTTTTAATACTTATTTTTTTGTTAAAATTAAAAACCAACCGTTTTATCAGATTTATCGTGGCCATAAAATGTAGTCTAACGATATTACGACCAATTTTTCCAAGGCCAGGCGATGGGGACAGCTCGACCATTGTCTAAAAAATGGTTTATTCGCTTTTTATAATTTGTAATTATGTGTTTCGCGTATTTCGAACGGTATTCAACTTTTTTTACATTAATTCTTTAGTGTTATCTCATCAGTTTTCTTCTGTTTTAATAATGTACCTGGTCCCCTTGGCGGTGATGTGACACTTCCGGTTTTGTTTGATAGCATTTATACATTGGACCAACATCGAGGACTTCTTCCTAAAAACATGTATTTTACGATTTTTACACATTCGATAAATTCTGCAATTTACAATTTGACGAATGGCAAGCTGCACAATTCGTTTTTCTAAAAACTAACCTTCTTCCCGGGCATCGGCTCATCGATAATGCCCTGTTTTTTATTTTGCCGTCTCAGGAAATCGTATCTTCTCCGTTTTTCCTCGGCAACATACCTGGAATTGGGCGTTTTCGTGCTTTTCGTATTTTCATAACGTAATTACATTTTATGGCTTAAAAATGGCTTTATTATAGCTTTAAAACGTATAAAACTTACCTGGCACAAGCCTGTAAACAATATCCTGCATCGTGCGGTCAAAGGCGACATAGTGAGAGGGGTGGGACTGGTGAATCAGCTCGCCGCACTGGGGGCAATTGTTGTCCTTGTCCTAAAAAGCGGTCAAAAGTGATTTTGGTCGTCAAGGATCTCTGCCAGATTGCCTAGGCCTTGAGTTTTAAGATAAAAGCCATTCTCTAGTGAAACTGACCTCAAAATGCTTCAGCAAACACGATTTGCAAAAAGTGTGTAGACATTCGATAACCGTAGTTGCATCGATGAGGTAGCCCTAAAAATGTGGTACTTTTGGAGCTTGACATCATCTTGATTTTGGCTACAAACTGCAAACTACACCGATTAAAAAGTGAAGCAAACCTTGCAAATCTGGCACGTGATGTGGTCGTTCAATTTGGTGAGCGGGAGGAAGTAGGAGGTTTTGTACTCCTTCGCGTCGAAGCCATCTTCCTAAAGACGATGTTTTCTGAGAGCTGAGGCGCTTTTTAGAAAACGATCTCCGGAACTATCTAAAGCCAGGAAAATTGGACTTCGTAGGGCTTTTTAAATAATTTAAACGTATTTTTGGAAGTTTGGAAAATCCTAAAAGCCTGATAACTAGCCGCACATTGTAAATTTAGTTTTTTTCGCATTCCATCAAACTAAAAATTGCCCTTTTCCACCGTAACCCACCGTATTCTCATTATCATTACTGACCGAGGGGCTCCGCCTGCTGCGTCGATGATTCTCCTTGTCGCCCTTCGATTTCCGGCCCTTCTTCGACGCGGGCTCCTTCTCATTTTTGGAAGACGTCGATGGCTTGACGTCCTCGGACTCCCTCCGATCTTTCCGCTTCATTTTATACGCCCCTAGAAGAGCATAAAGTTTTTTGTGGGGGGGGGGCATCGATAACGTGTGATAAGGACTGTATTTTTGAAACGGAGTGAGAGAGCGGTCGTTGATAAAAACAAATATAAACTATTGGACCTTAAAAAAGCAGAAAATAGGCTCAGAGGCGTTAAGGTATAATTAACGTCATGGGGTTCTTACAAGGGAACCTCACGCGGACAGGGTGGAATTTCGGAAAACGCTCGCGGCTACCCATAGGTAATCGGCCACTGCGATCACGATGCACTTGTCAGATGTTTCTGAACGCACCTGTGTAGAGATACAGCACTTCGGGAAATGCTGTTTTAATGCAGAGTTAGCATAGAGGATGGTTTATGAGGCGCTCCCAACACTATGGAATCACCAGTTGGATGGCCGAGTGGTAAGCGACTCTCTTGGTAGGATACTGACGAGGGTACGGATCCGCTCACAATTTTTTGCATTTGCTTTTTGTCCAGTGATTTTTATACAAGTTCAGAACCATAAGTGGTAAAGCACTTCTTAAGTCGTCTCAAAATTAGTTCTGGAAAAGTAAAAATTTTTTGTACCGACGTGTGTGGGAACCCAGCCGGCAGGGCTGATTTTCATTTTTCGAATTTTTTACCTACACTGGCTGTACATGGTATATAACGCAAAATAGGGTTTTTGACTACGAGTAGTAACATTCTGGACTTGTGCAAAAACTTCCGGCCAAAAAGTAAAACAAAAAAATTGTGAGCGGATCCGTACCCTCGTCAGTATCCTGCCAAGCGAGTCGCTTACCACTCGGCCATCCAACTGGTGATTCCATAGTGATGGGAGCGCCTCATAAACTATCCCTCTATGCTAATTTTTTGCATGTAAAACAGCATTTTCCGGAAGTGCTGTATCTCTGTCCACAGGTGCGTTCAGAAAAATCTGACAAGTGCATCGTGATCGCAATGGCCGATTACCTAGGGGTAGCCGCGAGCGTTTTCCGAAATTCCACCCTGTCCGCGTGAGGTTCCCTTGTTAGGCAATTTCAAAAACCTATTTCTACTACCATTTATTCAGAGAACGCGATTATATCGTAGTACGATAAAATTAAGCAAGACACAATTGAAGGCGACAAGAAGCAACAAATTACAAAAGCCCAAGAGAACGTGCGTTTTCCGGACAATTGAAGCGATAAAAAGCCTGTGAAAAGACGAAAAGAAAGGGCAGTAGTTACGCGTCAGGGCAATTATGTTCGAGGCGAAAGGGGGAAATTGAAAAGGCAAAAAACGGAGGTTGGAAAATCGCCAAAAATCTTAGAAACTGGACGAAAATCATCGGATTGTGGGGAATAGCCAAAAATTGGACGTTTTTCATTTTTCCATGAAGCTTAGCGTGGATTCCGGCAGTTGCATCAACTATTTTAAGAAGAAATTGTGTAAATACAAGAGAAAACCATTTAAAGGCATCGTGGAGTTTAGAAGCCAGAATATGAACGCAAGATCATCAAAAAACGCCTCGAAAATGGAGCTTCTCGGATTAAGTCAAACGCGGATTACGGTCATTCAAAAATAAAGAACGCACCGACGATTTACTTGATAAAAAACTACGCTTGAATTGGTATAGAAGTAACGAAAATGGAGAAATTAAAAAAGCTAGCGCGGTTTCGACCTTTGATCTTTCGAGATTGGACAATCAGATTTTCAATGAATTACAAACTCAACTAATGGAAAATTTAATCTTGATTAATCTTAAGTAAAATAACATACTTTTAGGGCCATTGTCCACCAATGGTATATATGCAAATCACATTTCAAGGGGACATCCCCGGGGTGGCGCGGGAACGTGATGTGGGCGAATATCGATTTTGGGTGACCGGCCGTCGGGGGGTGTTCGGGATTGGGCAAATGGCCAAAGCGAGATTAAAAATTGTGAAAAACGTCAGTTTAGATATATTAAATTTCGTATACCCACAGCGAAAGAATCTTTCAAAAATTTCTGTGTTGTCCAACTTTCCCGCGCTCAATTTGGGGCAGGAATTTGCGGGGTTGTAGGGTGGGGAAGTAGGGTTGGGTGCCTTCTATAATCTGGTTTCGGGCAGATTTTGAGTAGATGTTATAGGGAATCTTTGGTATACTATTGGTTTCCTACTAAAAATTCTATCAGAAATGACGATTAATCAGATAGAAAATTGATCCAAATTCGAGCAGTTTTAGCCTATTTTGGGAGCGAACAAGGGTGCTTTTTAGCAAGGCTAAAGCTACGATTTTCAGCTCATTCGATAGAGAATCGAATGTACATTCAGATTAGTTTAAAAAAGGTATAAAAATTGTACATTAATGCATAGTTTTATGGCCCTGAAATCACGTAGGGGGTTTTGTGCGGGCTGGAGTGGTGCGTGTGTGCTGGGCCGGGCCGGTCGACCCGAGAGCCGACGAGATAGTGGGCAAAGGGTAGAGGGCCCGGGACGATCACGGACATTTTGTTGAAAAGGCGGAAAGAGTTAAAGGGCGCCGGGAAGTGCTAGCGGCTGCAAATTCGGAGTGGTTTTTTGCCGGGTCTAAAATTAGATAAAAAAAAAAACGAGAATTTGTTATATTTTAAAGATTAACCGCATGGCCTTCCTCGCAACCGATCTGTAAATCATAGAGCCCTTTGAATGATCTTCCTGAATTTCGAAGTAAAAGTCCTAGCGGCTACAAATTCCGAGCCAGCGTTTTGGGTGGCACGCGAAACTATATAGGCGTGAAGATTTGTTATATTTTGTGAATCTTAAGTTTCTAGAAAATATAAGGCTTCATTCCTGACGCCCCCCAGAGACCCAGCCATAGGGGATCTAAAATTGTGCATTAAAAGACATAATTTTCAGCTTTTCGAAGTTACCGTGCTTAGTTTTGAGATAAACACAGAGCGGAAAGATTCTTCCAAATTTCCGTGAGCCAAGGAAAAATATTAACCTTCGATAGGCAGCTGGATTCTAAATCACCAGGGATTCGGCACCGAGAATTACGAACCGCTACAAGCTACGTTCAAGCCCTTCTCCCACTAAATTTGTCTAAAAGCAAAGTCGAAATGTGGTTGCAGCAGTGTGAAGCGTAGCGCCGAGCTGTCGATGCCCTGTCTGCAAGAGGCTAAGTTACCTTGCTTCTGGGTCCATTGAGCCCGAACTTTCGCTGTTTACAAATGACCGTGGCTTTGTTGGAAACCGGTCGGCAAAACGGTCAAGAAAACTTGAGCTGCCAATTTAGTCATGGAGTGGTGCTTTTTACTAAGTCCGTATAAATCACAGAAAAAACCATCATTTATGCGTTAAAATCTTTCAACAGTTCAGTGCAGCCAATTAAGTCCCTTCTTGCAGATGTAACGTGCCGAGATGGCCATCGTTACCCCAGCCTTCCCAGATCGATTTCCGCACGATTCATCGTGCAGCATCTAAAAAAGTTATTCCGCATGGTTTGAGAAGTGAACTGCCACCGAAGACATATTTCTCAGACCAGGAATACAGTCCTTTATGGTAATTCACCGTGTTCCGTCAGTCCAAGCGGTAGTTTGTCGGGGAACAGCCTAAAGTCCTCAGAAGTGATAAGATAAAATCTGGGTTTTCTCATTTCTCATTTTTCAGGTATTTGCTACGAGGGCGCCTCTGTACCCCTCTCCCCCCCTCTCTTTCTCTCTCTCTCTCTCTCTCTCTCTCTCTCTATCTAACTATCTATCTCTCTCTCGCTCTCTACCTATCTTTCTCTATCTCCCTCTCTCCCTCTCTTTCTCTCTCTCCCTCTGCCCAAGTCTTTCTACGTAAATAGTAGCGAGCATAGTGTAGCGATACATTTAACTTACTGCAATCCAATCCAAGCACAGGCATATCCACAGGCTCCCATCCCTTCCGGGATCATTTGTGTTCCTGGTTGATGATGCGTGCGTAGTAATGTCAACCCTTAAATGTGATAACTGCTCCTAGTTTGGTACAAGCGTTACCATGTTTAAAGTATTGCCCACTTTATCAGTTTTTGCCAAATACTCCTACCCACCATTCACGAAGTCGTTCTCCTCATCGCTATGAATTGACACAAGCCTCAGCGTTCGCGAGATTCACACTGCGACTCGGCGTCGTCGAAAGTCCAGGCGAGCCAAAGTCCGTCCGAGCCGAGCGTTAGGAACAAAATCATTACACACTAAGCCGCAACTAAACGGCGTAAACCCGCACCTAAAGTAGCAATGGTCCTTGTACTGTTTCCACGGCGCCGTGCAGGCCACTGAAATATGGAATTTTAAAGAGTAATGAACGTTTGGCAGGAATATCTGTAAAGTTCAACTACCGTAAGCAGTCGTCGGAACTGTCGGCCACGTCGGAAACGAAGAACTGGGGTCTAAAAACCATTTCAGCCGAGTCAGGCGACAATGCAAAGAATTTTAAACCAAGAACCTACCGTCGGACATTGCCTTCTGACAGTAATACGGCGCCGAGTCTTTGCAATTTTTCGTTTTCCACCTGCCGGATGAAGGATCGAGAACAGCGCAACCGTTCGCATTGTTTGGTTCTCCTTTACGAGTTAATAAAGATAATATCATAAAAGATATTGAATGAAACTGAATGAAAATATTCTTGAGAACTAAACTGAATACTAAACAAGTGCATCGCGCTCACAAACCACGAAAAAGCATTGGAAAACGTTATGGAAGTGAAAATTTGCGCTTGCCCTCCCAAAAATA